TATGTTCACGTCAGAACTGACATCACCAGCTCCCTCGCTCCCATCACTAACTGATTGGAGTAATTTGATTGGATGGCTGTTTAGCATTGTGTTATTCAATGCTGGTGAATGGGTCTGGTATTTATTATAATAGGATGGTGATACAATACTGTCTAGTCGAGGGACACCGAAGTCTCTAATATTTAAGGACCTCTGGACTTTAATGCTTAATTTAAACAATGTAAGTGCACACATGAAGATCATTTAACACTAACAGTATGATATATATACCAATATTTCCTACTAGGTATCGATAATGATAAGAAAACAACTATGTACACTTGCATGACAAATGATCAATAGAACTGAACAAATGTTCTTGTGAGGAAAATATATATATCTAGGAGCACATATATTCTTTTATAACCATGGTAACAAAAAATATCTAGTACTTCCCATTCAGTGGAAACTGGACTTCTCCAACTCATTGCTGACAGGGTGACGTATGTTTATTACAAATCAGAGGTTTTATTTAGAGTGTATATCACATGCATACGAATATATTTATCAACACATCTGATTACTCATAGAGCTAGTTATCGACCAACAAGTCTACTAACAGTCTATAATAACTAATATTATACAAAAAACGCTTTACACATATTGCTAAGTGACGTAATAGTTTCCATGTAACCATGGCAACTTGTGTTGTAGCTAGGTATTATGACAGCCAATGTACAAGCTCTAAACAAACTATGTTCTGTACATGTGCCGGTAGCATGTACCAACACATCAACGTCAATTATAATGCAAGCTGGCAGCTTACCTTATGCACAAGAAACAGATCTGGGTCTCCAACTGGTCTAACAGTGATCACATTAATGGGGTATATCCAACCCTTTCAGATCACAGATGTATAGAATATCTCAGACAGGTCTTATCTGCATGGCTTCATACTTACGCAACTAATGCCACCACATGAGATGATGCACACTTATAGTGATGGAAGCCTGATGATTGGATGACAGGGAGCCACCTTTTAGTATTCTGGAGTGGGCAGTATGGGATTTTTGGTTGAAGGAGGAACACAGCAACAGTATTTTCAGAACATCCAGCATTTCCAGCTAACAAATACTTTTGGGGGGCTTAACACGAGGACAAATATAATTACTGAGTTTCTTTCTCGAATTAGTTTATTTAATCTAAAGAATACAGGTTGTCTTATCAGTACCTGTTACTATATATTTCACTTGTAGTGTCGCATTACAAGTTGGATCGCCATACAAGAGTCACGATGCAAATTACGTTTCGATAAGTATTTTGCACTGTTTTTGTGTGATATTATCCATGTTCCATGCTACCTGGCTCACAAAAAATTGTTGCTATCAACCATTTTGTGTTAAACTTGATGATAGGTTAATCGAGGCTCATTCTAACAGCACTTACCAAACAGATTACTTTTTGTGACCAGTGGTAAGGCAGTTATATATGGTATGTTATTGCCAAGCTCCAAAATACTTTTTTGAAAAAAGAAATTGATACAAAATCAAATAATGAGTCAATACATAGGTAGATGTATCAAGCGATCGAACTTGGCACAGGTCATTTAGTCCTTGCCAGACGTCCCAGTAGTTAAGCTATCCTTAGGACTAGAGTGAGTAAGTTATGTTTAACGCCGCTTTTAACGGTATTCCAGTTACATCACGGCTTGTCAGCTTAATGTGGAAGGAAAGCCCTAAGTGATGCAGTCCTCAGACGTTTACCCCGGTGAAACCCATGAGCACGGGTATGGTGCTGACAAATCTAGAAACAATCGGGGCGAACCAGGATTCGAACCCACAATCGTAGGTTTCTGGCGTGCCCAAGGGATGCAATTCTGCACAGCGAATCGCGGCGCTTTAGATGAATGGCCTCGTGCCCAATAAACTGATGAACTGACTTATGAATCGTGACACCCTATACATCACCCATTCCTACAACGCCCTCTTGGCAAGCGTGCATGGTCAATGGCCCCCATGTAGGCTCTCACAGGTCTGGGTAATGGTGAACAAAGTCTACTTTTGTCTGTGGAGTTAGTGAGTGGATAGGTTTCCCCATTTGTTCAGAGATACATAACTGTGGCTATGTAACCAATTATTGTTCATATTTAGCTGACACAAAGATAAAATTGTTTTAACAATTATAAGATATATTTTCTCTACATGGTTAAAATAATGTTGGAATATCTGAAGACAACTGACAGCAAAAGAAAAGAGTTACAACATATAATCACTGGACAATATAACAATCTATTTCATGGGAATCAATCGTGATATCCCACAACTCTGTGATACCTAACAATGAACATGACATGACAGGACATTTCTTTGGTTCAGAGACATCTGAAACACACCTGTTTTGAGCTAGCGAAATATTTGAACACAATAGAAATATATGCAACTGACCACACAATCTTTGATATAATAACTAGGCCTTTCTACATCTACTACGATCAATATATAAAAACAACTGGAAGCTGTCAGGCTTGGGAACACAGTATGAACTGAATACATTGAACGATCAATCCTCCAAATATACACAGCATTTCATAACGTGTGCATACAGTAATACATGTATTTTTCTTACATCCAACAAATTGATTTTGCTGTAGACATCTCATTGAACAGGAAACGTGTTGCAGAAGAAAAGGTAAATATACTTTCAAGTCAGACAATATTGGCTGTAATGTGAAAGCAAATCAAAGAGGCCAAAACAAAACTATTTTCTAAAATCAGAGTCCATTAAATTGTAAGGGAGCATCCATTTTATTTTCAAGGGGATGGTGGGAAGATTTTTTAAATTCAATAGTTTGTCAGAAAATTATTTGATGGTGCTCAGTAAATCAACAGTTTGTTGGATACAGCTGGGAAAAAAGATTGTAGTAAAAGAACCCCACCCCAATACAAATAAAATGGATGCTCCCTAAACAATTAATTTTCATACCCTCCAACATGTCCTCTCACAGAACATACCGGTATACCATATTCGCTGTATTAAACACTCCATTCCAATATGCATCCCTTGACAACTTCTAGACCATTCTGCAAGTAATCCAATTCCATTTTCAGGACAGTATGTGTTTTCCTGTGTACAATACACATTTATTTACAAAAATACAGATTGGGATGCATATAAAACACAAAACTGAGATCTAACTTTTATTTTCCCAAAGATGACACATTACTGCCATCAGCAGGAGGCAAGAGAGTTAACCGACTATAAAAGTCCAGTTTCCACCCTTGCCGAACTAGGCTGGTATTATGGAGTTCCATTTTGGCTGGACTAACGAGTCTATGCATAGTCCAATCAAAATCGCGCACCGAAATCGAAATCCGGTTCCTTAACTGTCGTGCAGAATTCGGTTGATTGCAGGATTTGCAAAGCAACTCGTTGTCAGCAGATATTTTCTAAATCTTTTCATGTTTTTAATCAAGGTGCTCACGTGATTTGATGCATTTCGCGATGTAAGACCCATGTCAGATCGTCCTGACTGGGCACCACCATTTTGTGTGAAACAAACGCAAGTGATACGAGAGGTGGAATCTGATTGGTCCATAGGAGAGGCTTAGAAGGGACATAACTGGTAATAGCCACTGGTGGCGCTGCGATCGAGCCCAGTAATTCCAGCCTAGTTCGGCAAGGGTGGAAACTGGACTTTTAAAGTCAGTTAACTCTCTTGCCTCGGAAGATGCATTACTGATGACATGCACATGGAAAAAGGGCCCTTCCCTTATTCTCCAAATTTAATATGTTGCATATTGTTTCAATAAGCATCCCCTTTGCCAGTTTTCTAAGCACATGGATACTTATTTGGGCGAATATGGTATTTGTATAACAATGTAGCAAACTTTCCAGTAACCTCTCTGTGATCAGCTAAGGCTGAACCCCCAATCAAAAATTCAACATCAAAATGAGTATGTGCCACAATAGTAGCACTAAGTAAAACAGATGGTAGAACTGTGAACACTATTGTAACAAATGGTAAAAGGGGCTATAAAGGTCTGAATACCTTATTTCAAAAACTTTTAATGTCTCCTCTCTGTGTATCAATTTCTCTATGCCTCTGAACAAAACTGCACAGCCATTGTTAACAAAACACACTTCGTCATTGAGCAAATTCATCACACTGTTACTAAAATGAACACAATTTCCTTCTGAACATATTGAAATTACTTTCTGAGCATCATTTCATAATGACCCATTCTCAATATTTAACCATATTCGGGTGGTCAGGCTCGCTGACTTGGTTGATGCATGTCATCATATCCTGATTGCGTGGATCGATGCTCATGATATTAATGACTGGAATGTCTGGTCCAGACTCTATTTACAGACCGCCGTCATATAGCTGGAATATTGCTGAGTGCAGCGTTAAGCAACAAACCAACCAACCTACTTCCTAGCTCTTAAAATCTGAAAATACTAAAAGTGTTGATAAAATATACAGCATTCTTGTGATTGATTATTGTGACAAAGTAAGCTCACCAGGAATAAATAAGAAAGACTTTGACTAAAGCAGTAGTTATAGCATGATCGTGATATATATTGATTTATACACTGCCATTAAAAGCATTAACAAGCACTGCTAAAGACACAATCCTCCACCAAGTGAGCCCATGCAGGCCAAATGTGACAACACTATCAGTGACTGGGAAGACATAGGCTGTTCAGCAACTGACATATTCCGGCCAGGGACACAAGTACATGTACTTCACTCAATGTACACTGTGGAGAACTGACCCCTGTGAGAGCATGCTTGAACCAACAGTTCCCAACAAATACTACAGAATAGGGCTGGGACGAGTGCATTCGTCACCACTCGCCTCTTTCCGTAACCTGCAAGAAGACTCGTCCCCCTATCGATGAATGCTATTTGCGAAAATACGACAAACCAATCAGAATGCAGGTATGATTTCAAGTTCTTTGTCAAAGAATCCCTCAGAAATAAGTTTTGATTTTACATATGTCTTAGATCTAAAAATATACCCAAGGCACAGTTAAATGTGTTCAATCATGCTGTATAATTTCGCATGTCCAGATGTGCTTTAAATTGCATCTGAAATACATATAATATTTGGGGAAATATATGTGAACCATAACGGGACGAGTTGACAATTATGTATGGTCATGTATTCCCTGAAGTTGACTGTAGTTCTATCTTTATTCAAACATATGAAAGTCAGACAGAAAGTGTGCATAATCAGAAAGAAATGCGAACATTAGTGACTTGTAGTGTAACCATGGAGCTCTAGATAAGTTTGGTCATTAAACAATATATCACGTGACTAACCACGGGTCCGGGGAGTCCTGTGGGTACCCGGGTCCTACTCAGTACCTGAAGTACACGTCCCAGCCCTACTACAGAACATGAAACAATGAGTGTAACAGCTTGATCTTGATAAACAGTTAACAAAAACAGCTCTATTACAGAAGATTTTCTTAAAGCTCATCCAATGTCAGTTTTCCACAATGCTGCGTGTCTTCCTAATTTCAGTCGATTTATGTCCATCATTGAACAAGTGCTAGCTTTTTTCTTAAATAGTTTCTTATTTGTCTCAAATAGTCTTAATTTGGTAGTTTGATAAATCTACATAAATTTCTCTTTGCTTGAAGTGTTCCATGTTTGTTTCTTCTGTCTTTTTTCTTTCTTTGTATCTTGTCTCGCTTTAAACACTGTTGGGAGCCTTGTCTGAAACACTGCCCATATGACACCATGATCACAGAAAGACCCTGTACACATGTGACACCGTGATCACAGAAAGACCCTGTACATATGTGACACCATGATCACAGAAGACCCTGTACCTGTGAGACTCCAACCGAACAACATCTTCAAGTGTGAATACTTAACACCTGTCAACACAAGGTGCCATGAACTCATGCAAGCTGAGACATACTTCCACAAATCTCAAACTGGTTGATCATTCCAATATATGATTCAGTTCTTACAAACGACAAGTTCATACAATTTTCACAAAAAAACAGACAAGGGTTTTCCTCGAAACTTGTCCCTCGACAAACGTAAACTTCCTAAAAGCGAGACATTCAAGCATTTGTCTTTTGATCACTCTGACCCTGCTGGGTCGCCATCACAGCCGATTCCATTCAGTCTTGCCTGCTGACACACACACACAGGTCCATCCTTGGCATCTTCTTCATCAGACAACATAACTACACTACAGCTACACAGTAAGTCACAACTGTCACCACCCTGTGAGAAAAAGCACTGTGTAGTATCACAACTCATGCCCAAATATGGACGCTTACTCCCATGAATCTGATGAACAGGCAGCATTGACACAGCATCCTGTCAGTGCTCCACTCCTTCACTGACTAACCAAGTGCAAGTCATTCACAGGTCATACTTCTGGCTTCAGTGTCCAGTGTCATTGATCTCAACGTGATTTCTGTGCAATATTGATCACTAGGCTTCAGGAACAGGTCCATCATTGTCACTTCGCCACTTGACCTACAGGTATTGGAATCAATCTGAAGTTCTTCAGATTCAGATCAAATCGAAAGGGTTTTTCATGAAGATGAACTTTTAAAACTTGATGATCACAGGTTAAAACTTTCACATGAAACAACTTGACTAAATGCAATTGGTGGGTCAACTCCTTGAATATACAAGGAAAATATCAACTTTTACAGTATCATTTTAAAAAGCAAACTTGGTATAGATTAAAATAAAAATAAAGATAAGAATAAACAACGATACTGTTATCTATAACTGTCATACAACGAAATACTGTTGTCACATACAACTGTTATACAACTGCATATTGTTGTCACATACAACTGTTATACAACTGCCTACTGTCACATACAACTGTTATACAACTGCCTATTGTCACATACAACTGTTATACAACTGCCTACTGTCACATACAACTGTTATACAACTGTAATCTGCTGTCACATACAAGCTGTATTGCTTGTTGTTCATCTAATCAAGGCTATTTCTATCTGGTGCAATTAATTGCAATTATAAACATGCATTTGTTAGTATACAAAATAGTATGATTCAGTACAAATTAAGAGTCAAATCAAGAGATTTGATTGGAATTCAAAGTATTTGAGGTTCAAATATGCTGCTGAAAGTTATGTCCAACCGGAATCTCTCACACACCAATTTCCCAAATAGTTCCTATCCCAGTTCATCCATCTGACTATTTCCATCAACCATCCCATCCTCATTCATCCATCACACTATTTCCATCTCACACCCCATCCTAGTTCATCCACCAGACTATTTCCATCTCCCACCCCATCCTAGTTCAACCACTACACTGATCCCACCCATCCCAAAGCAGTTCACATTAAAGTCAAATGTTTAACTGAATCTTCATTAGTATGGTTGACCCCATCTTCAGAATCTCTACCCCCAGTCCTATTTCGCTGTCCCTTTTATGTATCTGGGTGTACACCATACCCCCAAATAACAGATCTATCCCCATCCCTCAGTTCCACCCTTCAGTCTTATTCCCCACCCCACCCTTCTATATTAAGGTATAAGTCGAACCCTTTACTGGTATTCACAAATCACTACCTTTAGTCCCATTTCCTGTCCTCTATATATGAATGTATACCCAACCATCAAAAGTCAGATCCCCACCCCTCAGTCTCACTTCCCCACCCCTGTTATATCTGGTTGTATGCTGGGGGTGGGGCAGTGGGTTGTGTGGTGATTGGAGCACCTGGCTCCCCAGGGGGAGGTGAGAATGCGGAGGGCATGCTCGGGACTTGTGCGGTCGGGTTCCAGGTGTAGTATGGGTACGACGGCGCCCATGCAGACAGCCCGCTTGTGTGAGCATCGTCATTCTCGTCTCGAATCTCAGTCCGACCAAACACACTTTCTTCATACGATGGAGGGGCTGAAAGAGAATTCTGCCATGGTCAATGTACTGACATAAATAATCAACAAACTGTGACTTTCGCCTTTATGTCAAACATGTTAATACTGGGTTAAGCAATAACTCACACAAAGATCATATGCACAGTAACAAATTCAAAGTTTAAATAATTGTTAAATTTAAATAATTTTTTAATTTAAGGGTTTTTGCGGGTGTTATAACAATGTTAATTTTAAAAAAGCAGATTAATTCCTTGCTTGTTTTTGTTATTTAATATGTAATAACATATGTAATTGTTACTAACATTTATTTGAACTTGAATTTGCACTCAAACTTCCATGCTGAAAAACATTTTCAAATCTTGTTTTGCCATGCTTTGAAGCACACACTTCACCCCAATTATAAACCTATTCATTGGGATCGCCATTAAGTAAGAGACTTCTTTCTATAGGCATTAAAACCTATTGTGAGGTTTTACTTTCCAGTCGGGTTAAATTAGAAATAGGGGGCTCTTATCAGAATATTATTTTGGTGAAAAACAACAGAGTTGAAAGATCGTAAAATTTGTGGTTTATGCCGACAGCCTGAAATGTTTATATACGACAGATATATTTTTCTAGAATTTAATTTCCCATAAATAAGGATGCATATAACACACGTATTATACACAAATAAATAAGTCTTGTGTACATTGATCAATCCGAAGGGGTGCTAATTGGGATTGTTCACTAGCCAATATATTCGCAAATATCGCCGTGGGCGCTTATTAAGTCGAATACGGTATTACAAATTTTCTGCATCCCGATGGATGCACTCTGTAATTCTTGTGTGATCATTTGCAAGTTTTATGCATATATCACCCAGTATTTTGTTAATCCCTGATCTAAGTAATATCCTTCTTTTGCTTTGCTGTTAATGTAATGACAAGGAATACCGTGTTAATAAGTCGATGTACATTGAGCATTGAAAAAGTAACATGTGACATAGTGGTAACAGCAGTGACAAAAATATATATATATATATATTGATTAATTTGATTGATTTTCCACTGAAGAAAACCAAGAAAAACATGCATAGATGGTTTGAACAAAGAGTATGATCAACACACATGTGGATCTCAAATCTGATCATAGTTGTTGTCGCAATTGAGCAAATATAAATGTTTAAGTTATGTATATGCTCACATGTTTTTAAGGAATTTCATTTCTTGTTTAATAAAAAGCATATTGTCAAGTGTATGCGGATGTTATGGTATCATTAAATAAACTGAAGTTGTTTTTATAATGATTTTTTTTAATTACTCCCTTATAGGTTTCATTGGGTCATAATAGGAATAATTGTATCATCTTCTTATAATTACGAGTTTTGTTAATGTTTAAATGGTTGTTTCAATGGTATTGCAATAAATGTGCTTTCAAATTAAACCTTTTTTTGCGTATTTGAGGTACAGGTACTTACATTACTAATATTACAAGACGGGCAGTGGCTGGACAAGTGGTACTTACATTACCAATAGGGCAGTTGCAGCTCCATAGTGGGCAGGGCTAGCGGTACTAACGTTAACGGTAGGGCGGTGGCTGCTCCATTGTGGGCTGGACAAGTGGTACTTACATTACCAGTAGGGCGGTGACTGATCCATAGTGGGCAGGGCTGGCGGTACTAACGTTAACGGTAGGGCAGTTGCAGCTCCATTGTGGGCTGAACTAGAGGTACCAACATTACCAGTATCTGGTGACTGCTTCATAGTGGGCAGGGCTAGCGGTACTAACGTTAACAGTAGGGCGGTGGCTGCTCCATTGTGGGCAGGACTAGAAGTCCTTACATTACCAGTAGGGCAGTGGCTGATCCATAGTGGGCAGGGCTGGCGGTACTTACGTTAACAGTAGGGCAGTGGCAGCTCCATAGTGGGTAGGGCTAGAGGTACCAACATTACCAGTAGGGCAGTTGCAGCTCCATAGTGGGTAGGGCTAGTGGTACTAACGTTAACAGTAGGGCGGTGGCTGCTCCATAGTGGGTAGGGCTGGCGGTACTTACGTTCACAGTAGGGCGGTTGCTGCTCCATTGTGGGTGGGACTAGAGGTACTTACATTACTAGTCGGGCAGTGGCAGCTCCATAGTGGGTAGGGCTAGTGGTACTAACGTTAACAGTAGGGCGGTGACTGCTCCACTGTGGGTAGGGCTAGTGGTACTAACGTTAACAGTAGGGTGGTGGCTGCTCCATAGTGGGTAGGGCTAGTGGTACTAACGTTAACAGTAGGGTGGTGGCTGCTCCATAGTGGGTAGGGCTAGTGGTACTTACGTTCACAGTAGGGCAGTGGCAGCTCCATAGTGGGTAGGGCTAGTGGTACTAACGTTAACAGTAGGGCGGTGGCTGCTCCATAGTGGGTAGGGCTAGTAGTACTAACGTTAACAGTAGGGCGGTGGCTGCTCCATTGTGGGTAGGGCTAGTGGTACTAACGTTAACAGTAGGGCAGTGGCTGATCCATAGTGGGCAGGGCTGGCGGTACTTACGTTAACAGTAGGGCAGTGGCAGCTCCATAGTGGGTAGGGCTAGTGGTACTAACGTTAACAGTAGGGCGGTGGCTGCTCTATAGTGGGTAGGGCTAGTGGTACTAACGTTAACAGTAGGGCAGTGGCAGCTCCATAGTGGGTAGGGCTAGTGGTACTAACGTTCACAGTAGGGCAGTTGCAGCTCCATAGTGGGTAGGGCTAGTGGTACTAACGTTAACAGTAGGGCGGTGGCTGCTCCATAGTGGGTAGGGCTAGCGGTACTAACGTTAACAGTAGGGTGGTGGCTGCTCCATTGTGGGTGGGACTAGTGGTACTAACGTTAACAGTAGGGCGGTGGCTGCTCTATAGTGGGTAGGGCTAGTGGTACTAACGTTAACAGTAGGGCGGTGGCTGCTCCATAGTGGGTAGGGCTAGTGGTACTAACGTTAACAGTAGGGCAGTGGCTGCTCTATAGTGGGTAGGGCTAGTGGTACTAACATTAACAGTAGGGCGGTGGCTGCTCCATAGTGGGTAAGGCTGGCGGTACTTACGTTCACAGTAGGGCGGTGGCTGCTCCATTGTGGGTGGGGCAGAAGGCACTGAGGGGCCGAGGGCAGGAGTGTAACCAGGTACTCCTTGTGGTTGATGTAGAGGTATGGTACCAATGATGATTCCTCGCTCTATCGTCAGCGTGTTCCATCCCAGATGAACCTTCAGCTGATAGCAGTAAACACAAACAACCATTGTCTAAACATCACAGCATTATCGGTTGAGTTTCATTTTCTTCACTTAGAATTATTAATTGATATTTATCATACATGATGAAATATACGTCACTCAAAAAATGTTAAGAACCATCCAATTCTTTCATACTACTGTAGTTAATCTGTCATGGCAGATTTGAGATTGCTTCATATTTTAGGACACAGACTGAGAATATCCCATCAAAAAAGGATCATGGAAATCTTTTAGAATGTGCTAACTGCATTTGTCTCAAGCAAAATGACATCATCCATTTGATAGAAAGTCAACAGGTGTGTAAGAATCTCAAAGAAAATATTACAGCTATTGGGGTATTCACAATCACAGTATGTTAAATAACAAAAATCACAGATTTTGAAATCTTACAGCAACAATGTACTGAATATCAATGATCCCACATCCTTCCAGGCCTGAAGGGGGTAGTGCGGGAATGATGCCCCCCCTGTTGATGTGCTCCTCCATGTTCTGTTTGATGCGGCAGGGGTGGGAGAGGAGATCAAATTGGTCCAGCTTTGTGTGCTGCTTCGGGTTACCCGAGGAAAAGATACTGTCAGAGAATCCGGTGTACGTCACAATCTGAAACCACATATACTGTCAGAGAATCCCGTGTACGTCACAATCTGAAACCACATATACTGTCAGAGAATCCCGTGTACGTCCCAATCTGAAACCACATATACTGTCAGAGAATCCCGTGTACGTCACAATCTGAAACCACATATACTGTCAGAGAATCCTGTGTACTTCACCATCTGAAACCACATATACTGTCATAGAATCCCGTGTATGCCACAATCTGAAACCACATATCCTGTCAGAGAATCCCGTGTACGCCACAATCTGAAACCACATATACTGTCAGAGAATCCCGTGTACGACACAATCTGAAACCACGTATACTGTCAGAGAATCCTGTGTACGTCACACTCTGAAACCACATAAACTGTCAGAGAATCCTGTGTGTGACAATCGGAAACCACACATACTGTCAGAGAATCATGTGTGTGACAATCGGAAGCCACATATACTGTCAGAGAATCCTGTGTATGACTATTTCAAATTTAACACAATCGTTATCACTCATGCTCTGAATTAGTTAGTAAAACAGGGGACAACGACTCTCGGTCGATGGGTATGGAACAATATTAGTAAAATCTAAATATTTTTTACATTTGTATACTTATCCTGCATTACTCCTTAATGCATTCACTGCTTACTTACGACAACTAGAAGGACAGCGCTGCGAAGGTCCTGGATGAAGAAATAAAGTTGTTGTTCTCAAGTCCCAATCAGTGGCCTTCCGTCGCTGTCCTGTGACCTTGATGACACCTAAGGTCATCTTCACATCACTGCCTGTCGCCCAAGCTCTTAGAAAAACATACTTTTGAGGTTTCTGAAGCCAAAGTGGGGAGGCAAGTCTAACGACGGGTGGGCCTTTAGCGTAGTAATGCAGGATAAGTATACAAATGTATAAAATATTTAGATTTTACTAAATTTTTTACTTATCCTGCATTACTCCTTAATGCATCTGTATCGGACGGTTTGGAGGTGGGTAAACCTTCAGAATACAGAAACCTCAATAATTCACACCCTGCAATACGACACCAGTTGGTCGCTAAACCGTGAAGCGGAAAAGTTCCGACAAAAACGCCATTACGGTAGGGTTGTTCAAAAATCAAAAAGATTGAACATAGGAATTAAAGAGAAATTCCCTATACACGCTTAGTAATAAAGAAAATAATAGCTATTCAGCTAATTCTTTACTTACTGTGTCATAGAGCCGTCGCTGACAAACAAGATTGTCTAATATTCTTCCACTGGTGGCGACTGAGTGACTGCACATGGAAGTTGACTGGCTCTGTATAGGGCTAATTCATTATTTGCGTCAGGGGTTGGCAATCTGCAGGATAACAACCAGAGGGCCAAACTTCGAACGTCTTCGACATCCTCGAGAGCCCCAACGCGAAGGTTATGACTAACGAAAATATGTGTCGAATCTCCAGAAATATCCTTCCTTGATTATTCCAAAACCACAATTGCCATGTTGAGCCCTGGTAAGGCTGACACCTTGAGATCTTGAGGGTAATTCGCTCTCGGCGAGTTCCGTTTGATGATCTCGTAGGCCTGAAGGATTACTGCGCGTAACCAAAGAGATATGGTGTTTGCGATTATGCGACTAACTTCTGTCGTGGACGAACCACGCCTAGTCTTGGAGCGTCGAATGAAAACTCGAACTGCTCGCACCGAGCCCAGGAGAACTTCACCATGTACAGTTCCCACAATAGTCGATATCGGTGGGATGGTGAAGGAACGGTCGGGTTGGCCTGGTAGTAGATTTTAGCAATAAAATCCCAGCATAACCCTTGATGTCCCGTTCCGTGCGTCCCATGCTCAAAAACGGATCCGGGTTGAGTCGATCACATGTAGTTCGCTCACCCGTACCGCCATTGCTAATGCCAAGAGAAACCATTGTTTCCTTGGTGATGTTCAAGCTCCTCACAGCGATAGCACGTTCGCGGAGCTCTCTATACTATACCGCGAGTGTAACGAAGGTGTCACGTGCTGGGAAGGAGCTGGAAAATGAGGATGCAATGAGGGGCTCGAAGGGGGCCCTTGCAAACCTCGAAGTACCACGTTCAAGTCCCAATCAGGTGGCTGGAACTTGGCCTTCTGATCCTCAAACCTGAATGAGCATAATATGGCCTGTAGTTCCGTGACCTTAATCACACTGTGATTTTCCGGAAACGGCCAACACTAAGATAATTGCAGCCAATTACGTAGTAATGGTGCTACCTTCCAAGTGTTTTTGGGTACGCAATGTAGGAGGTATTCCTCTAGGAATTGTGACGCAATCGTAGGGTCTTGATTCTTTTCTTCCCTGTAAAAAGTCTCAAGTGATCCCCACTTGTCATCGTCGTCTCTGGGAGAGTAACGATGAACTAAAGCTATAGCTTTGCTGCCCGTGTCGAAATAACCCTTCGCACTTAAACGCCTTTTAAAGACGAACCATGCGTGCAGACGTTGGGTGAGGCAATTTTCTGTTGAGGGTGGATGAGTAGGTTGGACCACTGTGAGAGGGGAAGTGAATCGTTTTAGATTTTTCCGAGCTTGACGAACTACCCTCTCGCCGGTTACCAGGGTGCGACCAAAGGAGAGATCGAGATACCTTGTCGCCTTGATCCCCTGTAGCACCTTGGGAAGTAAAAGTGGTGGCAGAAGAGTGTTAGTTCTTTGCCCTTCCCAAGTGATACTGAACTCGTCCACCGCCCAAGTCTGCGGATCCGGCAACGGGGAGATATACGTCATGAGTTGGTGGCCTAGGCAAATAATAAACAAGTCAATGTTTGGTTGCCTGAATTCCTGAAGCAGTAACTGGAATGCTTCTGTGAGAAATTTCCACTCGGTAGGAGCCACCCTGTCTGGACGTGATAAAGTATCGGCCAGTATGTTTCTACATCCGGGGATGTGCTGAACTATGAACCTTAGTCACAGCCGATCCACTAAATGGAAGAAATCTGAATGTCCTTAGAAGTGGAGAGTGGGAGTGTGTTGTTCCCCGATTGCACAGGCACCACACCGCAGTGCTGTTGTCTGTGGATATAGCGAGTCGGGCTAACTGTAGTTGATTCTGCCAATGTGATATAGCCAGAATTAAAGCTTCCAACTCCAAGTTGTTTATGTGCCACTTCCATTGTGCGCCGGGCCATAGCCCTGAGCTTATCTGGTCTTGTAAGTGAAGACTCCACCCCTGAAAGGGGACGTCCACAAACAGGTGTGTATTCGGGGAACACCCGAATAAACAGACTCTGCAGACATTCAGCGCCACAAATTGAGGCAAGGCTCTAGCTTAGTCGGTAGAGTAATGGCCTTGAGTGGATCCTGACTCCTGATGTAAGGGTTCAGGAAAAAAAATGAATTGGTCGCAGTTGTAAGCGGCCCATGCTAGTTAACTCCTGTGCCTAGGTGATTAACCCTAGCAACACTTGCCACTGGCGAAGTGTGTGTGGTTGGTGTAGAGTAGCTGACAAAAGAAGTAGAAACTTGTGCCATCTGTCCCTCGGTACAGATAGGATATCCTGGTCTGTCTTAAACAGGTCTCCTATGAACTGAAGTCAATAGGAAGGAGAATACTCCCGACTTCGCCTCGTTGATTGTCTATCCCAGTTATTGACATGTGTTGATGATACAGTAGATCACCCTCCATCTACGACTCGAACCAAGTGTTCGTCACGTGTAGATAGTTATTGGCTTCATTACTCCTGTAAATAGCCATAAGTGTCACTTACATGTCAAATGGGAAATACTACCATTGGTAGTGAACCCCAATGAACTGGACCTGAAAAGTCTACGGTTGGGATGGATAGTCGAGACTGATGAAGAATCAAACGTTCATTGAACACAGAGCTTGTGGATCATTCTCATCTTGTCTGGGTCCTTCATGAGTACCAGGTACGTGTGAGGATAAAACCCCGGAGTAAAGACTGGGTTGTGAACCCACTTTACAGCTCTTCTTACCAACAGTATGTCTATGTTGGATTTTCCCAATCAAACTGTGGTCAACGGTGGGGTTATCTCTACCCTTATACGGACACCATGATATAGTGCGATAAGTACGAAATCGTCCTTGAGACTTGTCTCTGCCACTCCCTTTCTCAGTAAGGGAATGCTGGTCTTCCCTGAGAAACGCGCGTCTAGGCTTATAATTCCCTGACTTGCCAGCCCGCTTGGACTTTCCAAGCTTTTGGGGAACTTGACGTGCGTGTCTGCGATCTGTTCGTTGAACAGGGGAGTAGATGACCAAGGTTGAAGTAATAGACTGCCCTTGAAACCAGCATCTCAGTTGGAAACGCTATAAAGTCTTGGGTGTAACGGTTATCTCCGTCAGAACGGTCTCAAGATGAATTTTCCTGAGGTCAAACTGACGCTGTAGGAAAAACACCATAGTTTGGAAGTGATCTAATCAGATATGGTTATCCTCTAATAGATTCTGATCCACTGCAAACATTGACGATATTGGTCGCTTAAATCACGGAGCAAATGTGAGTTTTGGAGAAGTCTTCCTCTAATGACCTCGTGGTGTCCCTCTTATTTACCCTGTTATCAGGGGAAGGCGTTACTGACACGAGATGGTGTGCTTCCCAATCGGGTACATGTGCTAAGCTGATCATGTGCTAAGCTGATCATGTGCTAAGCTGATCATGTGCCGGTTACGTAACCGAGTACACTGTAAGCCTTGGGCTAACGTCATTGTAGAGACCTTGATTGGTACGCAGACGCTGCGCTCAGCGCAGGTCTGGAATGTTGGAACAGCGCTAAGCTGATAGTGCGACGTTTGCGTAATAGGAGGGCTTTGGGTAGCAGTCAGACGCAGCGCTCGGCGCAGGTCTATGCTGCATATGTTGGAACAGCGCTAAGCTGATCGTGCGTCACTTGCGTGATAGGAGCGCTTGGGTATCAGTCAGACGCTGCGCTCGGCGCTGGTCTAAGCTGGATATGTTGGAACAGCGCTAAGCTGATCGTGCGCCGCTTGCGTAATAGAAGTGCTTGGGTTGTAGTCAAGTGCTGCGCTCGGCGCAGATAAATCAGACACAAAGCTCAAAAGTATTGACTGGATCAAGGCTTGCGTCTAATCTACCCCCATCATAGCATCTCGATACGCTGGTGCTGGTGCTGTCGCCGACGTCACAGATTATCATACATGTATCTGGAAGTGTCCGGCGGCTGAAAAAATAGGAGCAGTTACGATACTCACAAAATCCTCCGGTATTGTTGATTTCGGTGGATGGTGTACTTCTGCAATCACAGTCGTCATAATACCTGCCGATAATAACGGTTGGGTGGTAATGACAGAACCAGATGTCATTCGCTATTCTGCGATAGTGACATTCCTCTCGTCTCACGACGGAATAACTGCAAAATATGATTGTGAGTAATTTGCTTTTATATAGTAAACTCGTTGGATTAGAGATTTACACAAAAATTACATTTTGAATTTTGGCGAGCACATCTACGTGCATGCCTATGACCGTGGATAAAGAGCTTTGGGCGATTATTCCACGACAATATGTACACCACGAAAATAACCCATGGAAGAAATGGTACTGAAAGAATGCCGTAGAATTGAACAGTAATCTATCGGCAAAAATACGAATTGCAAGGGTATACAATATTTTTATATACGCAATTCAATTTAAACCAAGGCTATTTACATTTAGAGATTGGAGAGCACATCCGCGCGCAAACCAACCAACGTGGATGATAATCTTTGTAAGGTTTTTTTCCACGACAATTAGTACAATGCTCAAAGGTATGTTACGCAATTAAACCCTTGTTGATGAGACAATACTGGAAGAGTGCCGAAGAATTTGAACACTAATCTATCGGCAAATTTATGAGTTGCAAGGGTATACAATATTTTTGTATGCGCAACTCAATGTAAACCAAGGGTATTTATATTTTCATTTAGGGTTTGGAGAGCACATCTGCGCGCAAACCAAACAACGTGGATGATAATCTTTGTAAGATTTTTCCCACGACAATTAGTACCACGCTCAATCATAAGTTACACAATTACGCCATTGTTGATGAGGCGGTACTGGAAGAATGCCATAGAATTGAACAATAATCTATCGGCAAAAACTACGAGTTGCAAGAGTATACAAAGTTCATATACGCAACTCAATGTTAAACCAAAAATACCAACAAAAAACTATTTAATCGCATAAACATAGGTACGCAATAAAAGAATTGTTGATGAAGCGGGACTGGAAGAAAGCCGTAGATTTGATATTAATCTATCGGCAACCATATTTTTAACGAGTTGAAAAAGTATACAATAATTTTAGTATACGCAACTCACTGTTACGCCAAAGCTAGTAGTATTTAAAAACATAAGAATATGTTATACATACGTAGCTGAGTATTGTAAACAATATGACTACCTTGGCAGGCAAACGATTGTAACACAATTCAAAATGGCGGTGAACAACAATATTTTGGCGGGGAAAAAAGACGAGAGTCTTTTCACGCCTAATTAATTCACATAAAACTACACAACATGGTGAAAGTAATATGAAAAGAATACATCACCCATCGCAGATCAATTTTTAAGATTGTAGACAAACTGAAGGTCTAAAATTAATCCAAAAGCAGAGCTCCGCTTGGACACGTCCTAGCTGTGCTGCGACAACCAGTGATGTGAAGATGACCTTAGGTGTCATCAAGGTCACAGGACAGCGACGGAAGGCCACTGATTGGGACTTGAGAACAACAACTTTATTTCTTCATCCAGGACCTTCGCAGCGCTGTCCTTCTAGTTGTCGTAAGTAAGCAGTGAATGCATTAAGGAGTAATGCAGGATAAGTAAAAAATAGTGTTTTTTAACAATTCCTAACACATCAGCTTGACTAAACACAAAGATATTCCTTTTCTCAACAATGCAGTTATGATGCTTTGAAACATTATCCATTTTAAAAACTGCAAACATTTCATTCTATATCATTGCTTGGTCGAGATTCAATTGTCACAAAGCAGGGTATGAAACTCCCAAAGATTTCAGCCAGACCACAGGACTGGCTAGCTGAAATACTTGCCCGCTCTTACCAAAACCTGCCTGCCCACTATACATGCCATAATCATGTTTCTCAGGATAAGCTAACGGGGTTTCTTTTTGGTTACATTTTATCATTCATCTTTACATGTGAATTAATGCTTATCATCGGGAAATATTTTGAATATTTTCACATATGAAATAAAACCCGACCGTCGGGCAGGGGGATTTGAAAATCTGGCAGCCCGAGTTGAAATCAACCCGTCTCAGACGGTCGGGCAGGCAGGTATTTCGAACACTGCACAAAGCACCATAAAACAACACACACTCACAAGACCTACTGACCTGTCTAAGTTCCAGTTCTATCCGCTCCACATTGGAATCAGACTTATTGTACACATCGATGGTAAACACAATGGGCTCGCCAGGCACGTAGCCCGTCTTGTTGAGCAAAAGCCTCCCTGTGACGGTCCCCGACGAGCAGCAGCAGGACTCGATGGTCTGTTCCTGCTCCCCTTCAATCGGCATCTGAAACACCCGAGTACAACTACAGATGGACATTTTGTTTGTTGGGCTGACTACGGTATAAGGATATATATATACTGAAATGTTGCTATAGTGGTATGTGTATATTAAAACAATTATCCATAAACTGAAAAGCTTCAAAATACAGATTTACCACTTAGGACCAACCATTTGATATTCGGGGGGGGGGGGGGGGGGCTGAGATTTTAGCGGAAGAAATGAATCATCCCAGATAACAAGTGAAAAAATATTTATGCTTCACATGTTTGAAAAAGAAGATATTGTCTGCCACAAAAATTACATTGTTGCAAGGTATTTTTCTTCAAAATATATTCTGGTTCATAGTATTAATTGAAAATTAATCTGGTTTTGCAGCTGTAACTGAAAAAATACCTATCTCCGGACAAAATCCCAACTTCCTACCCCCCAAGCTTATAAAATGGTTGGTCCCTTAAGAATATCAATAGTTTCTCAAAATGCACTACATTTTACATTTTACAAGCAGGTCAGTACATTCAGATCAACATTAGTAACATTCTGAAAGTAACAACCACTTACAGCTGCATTACTGATGAAGTTGAGATCGAGATGATGAATGACTGTGAAGGCCCTCTTGGTGTGTTCATCAAACTTCCAGGGTCGGTCTATGGTTGCTCTACAGAAGTAGCGCACATAACCGCGGCGTCCCTCGAAGGAAGACGGCAGCGTGGGTTGTAGGGCTAGGAAGAAGGGGTACTTGTGGAAGCCTGCCGGGTGTTCCACTGACGCCTGACCTGGTTGAACAGAACAAGTCATTCTGTATGATAAAAAAAATTAATAATAATATATTCCACTGTCATGGCGCAGGACTAGACTTTCCCTTCTTTTGGGCAGTAAGACAAGGTCAGATCTCATGGGACGAATCCTGTGTTGCTGTATTGACAATGACTGCCCAAGGTCATTAACCTTTTGTTTACCCATTCCATCGTTTGGATATTTATTACCCCTAAGGCATCAGGTATAGTTCCGTCATGTGCACATGGTTCAAAGATGGCTGCACCCATGGTAAAACAGACAATGATCGATAACTATTTGAAAATTTACTTGGATAATTTTAGTATGCATTTAAGCACAGGTGTGTACTGTACTTCATTCCAAATTAGAAATAATATTTATTCGTCAGTTCAGAACTTCATTTACATGATATTATTAAAATCCATAATGTTTTCACCTTGATTCTTAATTCATGCTTTTTGTATAATATTCGTTCCAAAAGTTCAACTGATTTCTCCGACGTAACCCAGGTTGAGACATAATTTCTCTAAAATTTGGCACAATCATTATCATTGCGTCAGATTTAGCTGTTGAAATTTTGTTCATAATGGCCAGAGAATAATATGGAAGTGAATTCCTGGGTGAGGACTCAAATACATCCACAATAGCGTGACATCACCTTAACGGTTTAATATTAAGAGCAACAATCCATGCTGTTGGGGTACGATGACAAGGTATTAACTGAGCCTGACCACCAAATCCATCAAGTCACCTCGTACCGTACAAGTATAGTTTGTTTTGGCACCATGTTGAACAGGGCCATCATACTATTAAAGAAAAGCAATGAAAAATCTTGTTTATACTTAACCTGACTCATACTTATCTCATCTCATTTCTGAAAAGGTAGTTGAAACCTGTGCTGTGTTCCTGGAGAGCAGCAAAAAACATCTCACCCAAATGCACCCCTTTCCTGCACAGGCGCACCAGAACCATGTGACCAAGACCGCTGACTCATCACTCACTCCATTTCCTTACTTAACGGTAAGGAGAGAGCGGGGACGCCTGGAAGGGTAGTCCAGCGTATGAGTCAGGACAAGTATAAATTATATTTTTACCCTAAAAATATATCTTTTACCTTATCCTGACTCATACTTATTGCTTGAATCTCACAGTTGGCGTTGGGTCTTACCTGCATTGTGATTCAGTCATGACCTGTTCTGAAGTTGTACTAGAATGGCTAGGGATGGAAGTTCACAGTCGTTCAACCGCATCCCCTCAATGATTGGCAATGGTTCCCCTGGATCCTCAGCAATGATCAGACTAATTACGTGGTCTGTCCTGTGGTCTACAAAAGGCAGATGTTGCGCCTCCTCTGTAACTTGTGGATCACATGTCTTTGGCTTTCTGGATCTCCAAAAAACGACCTTTGAACTGTGTCCTCAGCATAGATTGTTTATACAAAGAGTTCATAGTCTGAACTAACTTGATTAACATCTGATCCTTCGAGTCCTGGACTACGTCTTTGTTGACACTGCAAGTATGGCGGTCAGATATAGACGAAAATTCCCATGACTGGCGTAGTAGGGGCTAAGCTAAGCATAAAGGTCTGACCAATGTGAATTGGCTATCAAGCCCTTGCAACAAAGTAGTGCGAGTCCGGCAGAGATGATGTGATCAGGAATAAACTCCTGGTTTTTCTTCTGAGCGAAAATTGGCGATAAAACATCCTCTCTCGCTTGGTCAGAGGATTCTTCCTTTCATTTAGCATTGCTTCATTGATTGAGCGTGACATAGCAAGGACAAAGAAGGAACAAGCCATTAACTTCATTAAGGAGGGATATTCCTCCGAATGGGACTACACTTCTCCTAATATTGCCCCGATCACATCCTCATCTTGAAGGAGGTAACAAGGGTGTGGGAGCACGATGAGGAATCTGAGAGATCTCATCAGAAAATGACCTATAAGGGGTAGGCTGGGCAGGGGGTTTATTCATCCCTTTATGAGGGGCATGATGATGACTAAAGTTCCCCTGTTGTTTTCTTCTTCATAGAAGTTGTATTCGATGAAGAAGATGTAGATTGTGATGAATCCCATCACACGCATTCCATCATCTTCCTCTGCACCGCAAAGAGGTATTGTGCAACTTCTTCCTCTCTCTAAGGAGCGCAGAAACTACACTTCACCTCCACAGTGCAGTTGAGGAATGTAGGGGGGTGTGAGTCCGGATCATGATGAAAACAGAGGGGCATTTAAGCCAAAGCAGAAAATAGTAGTTAGGAAAAGATGAATGGAAGAATAAAGAATGCAATCCAAGCGAAACATTTCATTGAAAAAGGATAATTTTGATAAGATGGCTTGGATTACAAAGCACAGAAAAAACTTCCCAACAAGCTCGGTGGTGCAAAATAAAAGAGTGACGAGTCAACCGGCTTGGTCACATGGTTGTGGTGCCCCTGCGTGGGACAAGATTGCATTTGGGTGAGATGTTTTTTTATTCTCTGGGAACACAGGACTATACCTTTTTGGAAATGACCTGAGACAAGTAATTAGTTTCTGTCAGGATAAGGTAAAATTAGAAGAATTTTTTTTCAAAATTATTCTAATTTTACGTCCTGATTGCAGTGATTTGCTTCAGTCAAATCCGTAAACCCCTAAAATAAAAAAGTGTTGCCTTACCTACAATGGTGATATCAGTAGTCATTGTAACAATCAGTGATGTTACTCTCTGGTGGTATCATGAGCAATGATCTAATTATACATTAATTTATGTATGGTGATCTACAAATAATATGGTGTTTGAATGCAAAAACAATTTTACTTTACTATAAGACACAACAGCCAAACAGAAGATTCTGTTCAGGTTCATGTCCTACCTGTCCCATACAGTTTGATCTGATGCTGGATATAGCCCTCATTCCCCCGGTAGTCTGTCTTTGTCCGACCATGTTTCACCTCCCAGTGGGCCTTGGCTCGTCCCTCGAAGTAGATGACGATACCTGAAACATATGTAGTACATATTCAGCTGGTTTCATACACCCTGTACAAGTGTCTCCTGGCTGACATAGTGGCATTTACAAATATTTCAAAATGAAAATCATCCATCAGTCTGTTCTAGAATATATTTGAGTGTTGAGGCCTGTTCCACAGAGCGGTCTTATCTACACAACCATTGTAAATCCACACTCTAACACATCCTTGATTACCACCAGCGTATTAAATCTCAATTCTATTAAGATAAACATCCTGGACTCATTCGCGACCAAAGTAGACACAATTTATGGATAACAACTTCTTTAATACTGTAAACGCGACGTTTCGGTATAGATCCTTATACCGTTGTCAAGCAAGACTGAATGAGGAGGTGAGGTGGGTGAAATTGGGTTTAACATTGCGTCCAAGATTTTTGCACTTATATAGCGACGTGCATGTACATGTGTGTGTTTGTGTGGCTGCTTGTACTAGTCTGGACTGATGCCGATTTATAGTGCTAGCTCACTGAGATACCATGCCGCAGTTTTACATGAATACCCCACTCAGACACAGTATACTGACTCCGAGACGACCAGTCCTTGTTTTAGCCCCTTAATGCCGAGCACCAGACAGGGTAACAACAAGTACCATCTTTTAACGTCTTTTGGTATGACGGGGCCGGGGATCGAACCCCGGACCTTTGGCTCTCCGGGCGGACGCTCTACCGCTAGACCACGGAGGCGGTCGACTGAATGAGGAACATCGTACAGAATATAAATAGTCGGTGGAGGATCAACAGTAGAGGATTAACATAGTGGAATTTACAAATATTTCAAAATGAAAATCATCCATCAGTCTGTTCCAGTATATATTTGAGTGTTGAGGCCTGTCCAACAGAACTGTCTCAATATAACCATTGTAAATCCACACTCAAACACATCCTTGATTACCTGTGTATTAAATTTCAATTCTATTAAGCTATACATCCTGGACTCATATCCCTACCATAGCTCGATCTTTCTTATCACTGACAGAATTTCTCTCGCTCATGAGCTTGAAATCAACAACCAATCAAAATGTCTCTCAGAAACACGTAGAACTACGTTCAAAATCGCTGCCATACCTGTGCAATCCCTTCAATATTAAATCAGGTGACTGTCCTAAAAGGATTTTTAGCTTTAAAAAGATAAAAGATGTTTTCCTAAATAATAAGACAGGTGGGGTTGGGGGTAGGGGGGTGGGAAGATTTCTTATGAAACAAGAAGTTCCATTAGCATGATTAGAACTTGTGCCGGCACGCAAAGTTGAGTCTTGTGAGTACTGGTTATATCGCTACAAGTTCCAAACATGAAAGAACTGTGTAACTTGAATTGACATCTATTTATAGCATCGTGTCATTCGAACCAGACCCAAAACAGAGGTATGGCACCGAATTGTCCTGGGCATTTATTTTAACAGAACTGAGATACAGTAAACTGGATAATCGAGGATTACTTTAGGGAGATTTACAAAACCTTTAGCACTAACATTGCTTGTGGAACTGGTCCCTTACTAAGTCCCTTTGGCAGACCAATTGTGGAAAAGACACAATTTTGATCAAAATTTTAAGTTAAATTGTATATTTATAATTATATACTTATCCTATCTCATACTATGCATTTCTTCCTTCTTCTTTTGATCCTTTAGTGGAAACATGCTAAAACAAAGTTTCCAGCTTCTAAAAACAATTCACCTGAACACAGGCCAACATCACCATTGTCACCACCCAAACAAATGGGTCACACACTGTAATACCTCTGCCACATCATTCTCTTTCTTAGACCTGACAGGCTATAGAACCCGTGAAGATCAAGGTTAGACTAGGTCTGCAGCAACCCATGCTTGCCATAAAGTCGACAATGCTTGTTGTAAGAGGCAACTAACGGGATCGAGTGGTCAGGCTTGCTGACTTGGTTGATGTATGGCATCGTGTCCCAATTGCATGGATCGATGCTTATGATGTCAATCACTGGCTTGTCTGGTCCAGACTTGATTATTTACTCGATCATTTCATAGCTGGAATATTGCTGAGTGCGGCGTTAAACAACAAACAACAACAAACAACAACAGACAGGCTAGAGGAGCTGTGATGCGGGGATGTTTGGGTGGGCATATAGCATGTTAGATTGGATAAGTATATAAAAGTACAGCTTGGCATTTCGTTTAACGCTTCATCAAAGCTATCAATCATGCCCGAGAGATTGAGTGAGTGAGTGAGTTTGGTTTTACGCCGCTTTTAGCAATAATTCAGCAATATCACGGCAGGGGACACCAGAAATAGGCTTTACACCTTGTACCCATGTCAGGAATTGAACCCGGGTCCTTAGCAGGACAAGCAAATGCTTTAACCACTAGACTAACCGACCACCCCACCCAAGGGATTGAAGCATGCAAAGATGAGATTAACAACATCCACAAGAGGATCATCAAACCAATACCGAGATATCACGTGCCTTAAGCACAGGTGAGCAGGTAAGGGTTCGGGACAGTCATTTCAGGACAGTTAATTTTACTTACACTTGAGCTGTTTTACATGTATTATGTTGAGCTTATTAGTGACTTTCTGACTTAATCAACCGACTTCAAGGTCTAGTGGTAAAGCATCTGCCTAACGGAAGGTTAGGGGTTTCATCTCTGGCCGCATCACATCAAAAGATGGTACTTGTTGTTACCCTGCCTGGGGCTCGGCATTAAGAAGCTAAAACAAGGACTGGTCGGCTTGGACTCAGTATACTGCGTCTAGGTGGGGTATTCATGTTAAACTGAGGCATGGCATCACAGTGGGCTAGCACTATAAGACTGGCATCAGTCCGTGTAACAACACGCACGCATGTGACATTTCACCTCACCACCTCAGACGTTTACGTAATCACAGACTGCCCCTTATTGGTGATAAACTCCCCCATGGCTTTCAGGAAGAGTTTTGCGTCTTCATGGTTATGTGACATCAATGGATCACACAGATACTTACTTCTCATCTTCATTGGCTGTGTCAGTTTAATGATGACTTCTCCCTTGACATGCTCCCCAGAAACAAACACACCACGGTCATTTTCAAAGCGGACCTCGAATTTTTCGAGCTTCATTTTTAAAATCTGGATCTGCAACAAAAGAAGATATGACAACACAGACGAAATCAATAACTTTATGAGAAAGTGAATGAAAGTTTTAATACTTCCTTCTCCCACCCATATAACCCTGCCAAAATATATAGAAACAAAAATTATTATTTGGGTAACCAGAGCTCCAGATAAGCTGCATGAAATAGGCATCAGATATGCAGAAATATGCAGTAAAATAAATCCAAGCGTATCAAATACGCAACAAACATTACAGATACGCTACAAAAATAAAACTTGTGCGTATCATCAAAATATTGTGAAGTAACCCTGCATATTCGATTAGCAAATCAGCAACTTATTTTGAAATTACAAACGGGCATTTCGTCAATCTTGCCAAACTCCATGATGACAGTTACATCATGATCATTTGCCATCACACTTTCTTGTGGAAGTATCATGGTATTTTTGAGTCCTATAAAGCTCTCGAACCCACACGACACCAGTTTGCAGGGACTAGATGAATAGTGTTTTTAATTATTTAACTTAAATACCCACATGTGTAAAAACTAGTGGGTAACAGAAATTAGAATACCCAGATAGAATTACTGATACCCAATGATTTTAAAATGCATGGGTAAAATACCCACAACACCAAAAGCTTATCTGGAGCTCTGGGTAATGCAAGGCAACTCTCTCCCCAACCTTTTATTGCCCAATGAAAGATTTTGACAGTTTTCAGCATTTCAGTGCATACATTTCAATTTATTGATGTTTCATTTGCAAATGACTTGAGAGTTGCAACTTTTATTGATGAACAAGTTATCCAAAGTATATTTTTATTGCATAATTATTTTTTCTAATTTCTTGTGAGGAATACATACACATTTAGCATGTCACAAATAGATAGCCCAGGCAAACTAGTGGATGTTTCTTTATTCATGTCACACAGCATAAATATACCACAGCTGACATTTTCAGGTTATGGGTCAACATAACAATCTATAGGATGGGATTACTGTCAACTTCTGCAGTTCACAGAGCTACTGATAAGCAGCGTAATTTGCGAAAAATGCCCTCCAAAATATTCAAAACCCAATTACTTTCAATTAACTTGCATACAGAAACGCATGCATTAAACTCAAATGTATAAAACAGCACGCGTAAATACCCAATGCAGCTTTTTCAGCATGTGTACAAAGGAGATAATTTCCGAAACACAATTACAAGCTAATTTACTTTCCGAGTCAAGCCTATATTTTTAGAACAGTTGTATACATCAAAAACATTATTTCACATTTTTTTAAATCTTAAAATGTTCACTAATTTTGGGAAGAACCCAATAGAGTGATGAACAGATGAGTGAAAAAATATTGGTTACCCAATGAAAAATAAAATGTAATAACCCAATTAAAATAGAAATCCTAGAGTAAAAACTCAATTGCTCAAAAAGTTATATGGAGCTCTGAGTTCATACATAAATTATATTGATATATTGTATATGTTATAGGGAACTCATGTTAATATTGCATTTGAATGTTCTCCATCAATAGTTTTTGGAATCGATCCATTGTTTGATACACTATCAAGATATATAGTTCATGATAAACTATATTTGAGATACATAGTTCATGATACACGATGTATCGAGATACATGGGTCATGACACATGTATTGAGATCCTTTGTTCATGACCTGCACTGTGCAACCAGACAATGAAAGTGACCTGCACTGTGCAACCAGACAATAGAAGTGACCTGCACTAAAGAACCAGACAATGGAAGTGACCTGCACTAAAGAACCAGACAATAGAAGTGACCTGCACTAAAGAACCAGACAATAGAAGTGACCTGCACTAAAGAACCAGACAATGGAAGTGACCTGAACTAAAGAACCAGACAATGGAAGTGACCTGCACTAAAAAAACAGACAATGGAAGTGACCTGCACTAAAGAACCAGACAATGGAAGTGACCTGCACTACAGAACCAGACAATAGAAGTGACCTGCACTAAAGAACCAGACAATGGAAGTGACCTGCACTAAAGAACCAGACAATGGAAGTGACCTGAACTAAAGAACCAGACAATGGAAGTGACCTGCACTAAAAAACCAGACAATGGAAGTGACATGCACTAAAGAACCAGACAATGGAAGTGACCTGCACTAAAGAACCAGACGATGGAAGTGACCTGCACTACAGAACCAGACAATTGAAGTGACCTGCACTAAAGAACCAGACGATGGAAGTGACCTGCACTAAAGAACCAGACAATGGAAGTGACCTGCACTAAAGAACCAGACAATGAAAGTGACCTGCACAAAGGAACCAGACAATAGAAGTGACCTGCACTAAAGAACCAGACAATAGAAGTGACCTGCACTAAAGAACCTGACAATAGAAGTGACCTGCACTAAAGAACCAGACAATGGAAGTGACCTGCACTAAAGAACCAGACGATGGAAGTGACCTGCACTAAAGAACCAGACAATGGAAGTAACCTGCACTAAAGAACCAGACAATGGAAGTGACCTGCACTAAAGAACCAGACAATGGAAGTGACCTGCACTAAAGAACCAGACAATGGAAGTGACCTGCACTAAAGAACCAGTTAATAGAAGTGACCTGCACTAAAGAACCAGACAATGGAAGTGACCTGCACTAAAGAACCAGACAATAGAAGTGACCTGCACTAAAGAACCAGACAATGGAAGTGACCTGCACTAAAGAACCAGACAACCTGATAATGAATCTCACCTGCACTAAACTTGATAATCAATCTCACCTGCACTGTGCAACCTGACAATGAATCTTACCTGCACTAAACAACCTGATAATGGGTCTAACCTGCACTAAACAACCTGATAATGGATCATACCTGCACTAAACAACCTGATAATGGATCTTACCTGCACTGTGCAACCTGACAATGGAAGTTACATGCACTGTGCAACCTGACAATGAATCATACCTGCACTGTGCAACCTGACAATGAATCTTACCTGCTCTAAACAACCTGATAATGGGTCTAACCTGCACTAAACAAACTGACAATGAATCTTACCTGCACTAAACAACCTGATAATGGGTCTAACCAGCACTAAACAACCTGATAATGGATCTAACCTGCACTAAACAACCTGATAATGAATCTCACCTGCACTAAACCTGATAATCAATCTCACCTGCACTGAACAACCTGATAATCAATCTCATCTGCACTAAACAACATGATAATGAATCTTATCTGCACTAAACCTGATAATGGATCTTACCTGCACTGAACAACCTGATAATGGATCCTACCTGCACTAAACAACCTGATAATGAATGTTACCTGCACTAAACAACCTGATAATGAATCTTATCTGCACTGTGCAACCTGACAATGAATCTTACCTGCACTAAATAACCTGATAATGGGTCTAACCTGCACTAAACAACCTGATAATGGATCTTACCTGCACTGGGCAACCTTATAATGGATCTTACCTGCACTAAACAACCTGATAATGAATCTCACCTGCACTAAACCTGATAATCAATCTCACCTGCACTATACAACCTGATAATGGATCCTACCTGCACTAAACAACCTGATAATGAATGTTACCTGCACTAAACAACCAGATAATGAATGTTACCTGCACTAAACAACCTGATAATGGATCTTACCTGCACTAAACAACCTGATAATGGATCCCACCTGCACTAAACAACCTGATAATGGATCCCACCTGCACTAAACAACCTGATAATGGATGTTTCCATGTACCAGCAGTTTCAATCCTGCACTTATGCAACTCTGAAATAGTGAGATCGGCCCTGTTAATAAGTCAAGTCCCCTCCCCTACCCCCCTTCCTCAGGATCAACCAGCGTTGCAACTCCTGCCATAACTTGTCGAACAAAAAGACTGATTTAGTGAGTAATTATTGCTAATCCAGGCACTACTTACATGCACCACTAGGTACGCTGTTAAAATGATCAATTAATTATGTGTGTCACAATGCAACAACATGATTGATGCCCCCAGCTCAGGAGCAGGAGCAAGCCTCTCACTGCTCTATGGAGAATTGTCAGAATTCTAATTATCAAACTCTTTTATACTGTATTATACACTCGGTGGGCATATTGGCTGTAACCATGATAACAAACACTGTGCATGTAGTTTGATGCATCTGCATTTATAGTTGATATGTTCAATGATGTCTATTACACGTCATATAGCTGGAAAATTGCTGAGTGCGGCATTAAACAACAAACAAACAAAACATTATATGTTATTAATGTAACATACCTTCTTTGACGTAATAAGCGCCCGGCTTTAATAAGCGCCCATGGCGATATTTGCTAATATACTAGTATGGCTAGTGAATAATCCCAATTCCTTCAGAATGATCAATGTACACAAGACTTATCTATTTGTGTATAATACTCACTCATGTGTTATATGCACCCTTAATTATGGGCAATTAAATTCTGGAAAAATATATCTGTAGTGTACAATACACACAGACTTTTCTTTTGTATCATTTCAGGCTGTCAACATAAACCACGAAATTTACGATCTCTCAACTTTTTTTCACCAAATTTTATTCTAATAACTAGTAAATAAGAAGCCCCTATTTCTAATTTTGAGAGCGCCCTGAGCGCTTATTACATCAAATACGGTAATATATTTAAATTTTGCGAATGTAATATATTTCTGATATCTGTGATCAGACATGTGATTGCTTATGGGATACATAACCAACTGCAGAACCAAGTACCAGGGGTCCCCAAGGAAGGGAAGAAGTGGGATCCCAGTATTACTGCAATATTATTTGAATCTGGTTGCCCTTTAAATCCTTACTTTTAGCATTCGGCTTGGCATCAGGACCTCTTGCCTTTCCAATCTCATTAAAATCAGATCTTGCTTCTCGCTATCGCTAATTAAGATCTGAGGACATCCCATTACAGGTCACGTCAGAATGACGCTTCATCCGACCAATCAAAGCGTCGCTTACCAGATCATGAAAGGGACAGTGCAACCTCGAAAACGTTAACACAGGGTATTTTGAACGACAGTTACAGCCCGTACGACTGATTCCGTCAAAATTATCGTCTAGCTCTCGTTTGCGTGGGATGAACATGATAAAAATTTGAACGGAGGAGTCGTTGCACAGTACATGGGAAGCATTGTCAAACAATCACAATGATATATTAGACATTCCGGAATGTTCGTTAGTTCAGTTTTCAAAATTTGAATCGAGAACTGTGTCAACATATTTTTCAAGCGTAGTCTGAAATGGAAGTCGCCAGGTTGAAACGAGTGCCGTAAAGCTCGAGAAAGCTGCTTTCTAATTGGCTGATGTCGACTTCTTGTTTGTCATTTCAGTGGGAGGCCAAGGTTCGCGAAAGGTCGTTCCGACGTGACCCGTAATGGGATGTCTTCAGATCTTTGTTTAGCGGCAGCGAGAACTTAGATCTGATTTAAGTGAGATTGCTTGCCTTTCATGCTTAATTTCGAACATTGGTCATGCTTACCGTGGTACTCATGCTTGTTTATCTACAATAGAGCATGAAACTTCAGATACTGATGCTCTTCCTAATGCAAACTGGCCAAATACTTCATAAAAATACATAATGCAAAATCCATTACATGTGTTAAAAACAGCAAGGTACGTGAGGAGGCAACTGTGTCAAACCAGTGTTACTAAACAAACGTCCTGGAGACCTTTTTGTTTGTTGTCTCAGTATTTTAAACTATGGCAACCTCAAATCATGAAGTGCCAAGTATAAAGAGTTATGACAAGAATCCACTGACTTTTATACTTAATTTCAAATGCAGACCATGCTATTGTATTACAGAATAAGAGCTGGGTTTTATCTAGACCTGCTGAGCTGCAGCAAACGTCAGTTAACATACCTTAATTTTGGAATAACAAATTTCCAATTGATGTGTTATGGCTTTACAGAGGTGTCTTTTATAATAAAAATATTTATATACTTCACTGTGTTTTCTGAAGTTGAGAAAGTGATATTTCATTGCAGTGAACATGACACTTGATATTTCACTGTGCAGCACAGTTAACATAACACTTGATATTTCACGGCAGTGAACATAACACTTTGACGGAACTACTGTCTTACAAGAGTTACCTCCCTAGACAATATCTCCCTTTGTTGTAAGTGTCTTGTCTGTACACAAACTGTTGCTTTCCTATTTACGTTAGTTCCACATTGACAAGGTCAAATAACGACAGATGGTCATTTATGCAGTTAAATACCGCTTCTTGACATTTGTTATTCTCTTGAAAATGTTTCACCACAAACTAATTTTAACATTTAACTCGTCAATTGAGAGTGTTCGTTTTTCAAAGCAACATTATTGTTACTTGTTTTAAGGCGCAACTACAAGGGGTGGAGAAACGTAAAGAAATATGTAAAGCGCCCCCAAATACTTGCATTAGTCCGTTCTATTCTGATGTCTTCACAAACAAACATATCTTGTCACTTGATATGCAAATAAGCCTGTGGCAGTGGTGTTATGCTAAGTCACCACTGCGCCGGAGCGTGGGTAGGGAGAGGTTACGTTTCAAGGTTTTACATTTGTAATGCAATAATTTAATTTTCGGGTAGATATCTACACAAAATGGATATAATAAACAGGATATTCCATGTGTCAAGTGAAATATTTTGTTTCTCTCATCTCGTGACGGGGAAAGGAGATATTTTTACTCGTGGCTACATGTATTTCACTGATAAAAGGACAAAAAAGGAGGAGGAGGCTTTTATGTTTAGTTTTTCATTATTCCATTAAATGCAATGACAAAATACCATTTTTCAGAGTTTCAGACAACATGAATCTAAAAGAAAATCCCAATTTTGAACAAAATAATTTGCTTGTCAATGGTAAATAGTTAGGTATGCTAGTTAAATCCCTGGAGTGAATAAACCACATTAAGACAACATAAATTATAAAAGCAAGTCCCTCTCAACAAAAAGTCCACTTTGACACAATAAAAAGACAATTTAAGGAAAGTGCTTTCTGGCCTCTCCTATAAAGGGTCCAATGGGCGAAGCAAATACCAAATGACCATCATTTTCATATTTTTAACGTGCTGCAAACAATTACCGAAGCGTCATCTTCAAGGGATATCTTTCAAATTTAATAATATATATTGCTTTTGTTGTCTGGGTATCCATCCAAATGCTTAATCTGATTACATCAGCACGAGGCGATTACATAACATAGGGTTACATGGCGCCTTTTGTCCAGATTCTAGTTCTACAAGTCTTCGCCTACTACGGGAATATTTATGTTTTATTTTGTATTCAAAAGAAGCTCATCAATAAAATTCATCCTTTTCATTTTTAATATTAATACGTACCTCGCCACCTCCTGCTTACATTATCGTCTTGTAATGAATTGTAACACCCTGTGACAGACGACAACTTGTTGACAAATCGTGACCGAACTCTGAAGGGTCTGTCAAACACCCAGTGCCGATGAGTCAATTCACGAATCCTAATCGTCAGCCGAACAAACGGCTTAACACATGTAGTGCTACCTATTGTTTTACTTACCAGGTTTTCTATGTGTAAATATCACCGGTAAATCGTCATTATATCAACCTTGGAAAGAGATATTTCATTCGTCAAAAGAATGAAATTACACTGTCCAAAACGCAAAACACAGGATGACAGTGACACTTCCGGTCCAGATACGAGTTTTTCGGTTTCGATTATCTCCCTTTGTCCACACCCTGTAGAGTTCATAGCGCGATTATATAAACAACTGTGTAGGTGTGTTTATGAGCGACGTTCCTGTATACTGCTAATGTGCAACATGGAAAACAGGGAAACTAGGACATACAATCCAAATACAAATAAACATAATCTAAAAGAAAAAACCCAAAAGAATATGATGAAAAAGGAAAACATGAAACAAACCCCGAGAGTAAATTAATGTGAAATATGTAATTATGACAGAAACGGAGAGAATGCAGAGCCCCAAACGAAACCGAAATGGAAAGCACTGCTGAACGAGAATTCCCTGATATGAATGGGATGATGTCAAATAACAAATCTAATAAGGCAGTTGACAGTGATAGAACGGCTGTCGGGATAAAATATCCTGAAGACTTAACAGAATGGTAACAGATAGATCCCCGTGTTACAGGTTTTCGGACGAAACATTCGTAGTTTTTTTCACTTATGACATGGACAACTCTAAAACATCTCATTCACTTATAAAAGACAACTTTCTCTTTAAAACAAACCATCGTCTGCTTATTTACAATGTCTGTGTGATGCTACACCCCCCGTTATAGCGCGACTAATCGTGATAAAAAATCACCATAACGTCTGAACTAGAAATGGGCACCCGTGCAGCGTAATCCCAAATACTCACAGAAGTGTGCTTAGCCTGCAGGAACCAGGAGGATCAGCCACCTGGCTCGTTTCCGGGGCAACATCTTCCCTGTGGACCAATCGTTTCATGTTTAGTATTCAATATCCATTGGACACATTCCCTTCATTTTGGTACGACATATCCCACAAATCTATATTCATTACGGGGCGCTTTAAGGAGCTTAAAATTGCGGCGGGGTAAATTTTTGTCAGTTGTACGCAGCGTGGTTCATTGAAATTTACAATAACGTCATCGGTCAATAAAAATTATATATTTTACATATACGTTAAGATATATTTATAAATATGATAAATTCCACATGGTAACCTACCTAAACTACCCTAGCCTACCCTAGCCTTTTAAACGGTACATTTACAGGTAAACTGATAAACCTAGGCCATATTCGTTTGTTGTCATGCATGTATGACGGCCTATAGCCTGAGGTAATTACCTAACACCTGTCCCGTGGTGATGACCGTGTCTGAAAGGCCGTTTGTCGATCTACTGTTGATACCACATGAATGTAAAGCAACATCTTCCTTTGTTACTGTTACATTGTGGACCATTCGATTTTTCACCAGGTAAGATAGCATTTCACTACTCTCAGTCAGCCTACACTAATTACTAATTTATACTCAGTCTGCCTATAAAAAAAGGGTAGGCAGATTGAGATGTAGGCAGACTGAGAAGTTACCATGACCTTACACCTGAGTTGGGGGTGGTCTCAACATATTGCTGTTATTGCACTTTATTGAGATATGCGTTAACAGGGTAGCAATTAAGATATGTACTACATTATGTTTTCTGGGATACATTTTGCTCGTGATACGACATGTTCTTCAAACACATATTATTACAAAGTAGGTATCGGTGTATGTAATATGTCATCCTCCCTTATCCAGGGTATTATCTATGATACGCTGGACGCATTCGCCACCATAGCTTCGCTTATGCCAAAATAGGCGTCCAATCAAAATACACCCATGAGCGAGAGACATACATTCTATGCTTAGGTAGTATAAGATAAATTGAAATGGTGACGTCACCCCTGCGGCCTTGGTGGCGAATTGGTCCAATAGAAAGGCGATATATACGGCAAGTAATATATGCACTGGCTTATAGGCTAAAATCTCGGGAAATACGGTTTGAGGTGAGATGATGTGAGGTGAAATGGGGTTTAACGTCGCGTCGATGATTATTACACATATATAGCGACGCGCATGCACGTGTGTGTGGCTGCTGGTACTAGTCCGGACTAATGCCGATTTCATAGTGCTAACCCACTGAGATACCATGTCGCAGTTTAACATGAAGACCAGTCCTTGCTTTAGCCCCTAAATGCCGAGCGTCAGCCAGGGTAACAATAAGTACCATTTTCAACCCCGGACCTTCCGCTCTCTGGGCTGACGTTCTACCACTAGTCCACGGAGGCTGCAAAACATTCGGTGAGCCCGTGTACCCAGAGCCGACAGGCAACGAATTTATGTTACCGCCATGTTTATCATTTACCTCACCTTGAAAACAAACGGAGATTTATGCTGAAGCGTTTGTTTGTGGCCATCAAGCCAGATGTGCTCCAGACGACAATGTGTTTATGTGTAGGCTCTTTGCATCACGTACACCCCATGTCAATGCTTATATTCATCACGCGACGCTGTAAGGAGCTTAAATTACGACGAGGTATAATTCTGTCATATCGCCATTGATAAATAAAATTCAAATATTACGTTAAGATGAATTTATACTTATGATGACAAAATCCACATGGTTGTAATGAACGCTGACATTAAAATGAGATGGGATATTTGAGCTCTGGCCTATCTGGTTATATTCGGTTAAAGGTTTGAAATCTATGAAAGGTGAAACAAGACGAATATGTACAATGTTACCACCCACCACGCCGCACCCGCACCACCAACACCTCCGCAGTTCCCGGATCCGTCCATAACTTCACTATCAAACGTCTCTGAAATGAAAATGTTTCAGAATTATTTTTGGTAAAATGTCTTGAAATAGATTCTATATAATATAAGGGAACCGATAAATACTCTTCACTTTCAGTTGGTGAAAAATCTAAACCTTTTTTCCAGGGTCCGTTTGTGAGATTACCCCATAACCACAATGCATTCATGCATCTGACAAAAGTGGAATTCTGCAGATTTGTAAATGTTAATTTTGCCAGTCTCATTAAAGGAAGCCTTCTTTGGCCAGCTTGGCAGGCCAAGTAAGTTGTATTCATGTTCAAGAAACACCACTTTGTCTGCAAGTCCATTTTTAATTATGCATATCAACCTAGTGGTTGAAAGATTCCACCAAGCATGCATGGACGATGTGTCTGTTTCAGAACACCACCGGGGGGATTCCGGGTTAGAACTGGTCCCCAGCAAACTGTATCAGGCCCCGTTACTCAGACAGACAGACAGACAGACAGACAGACAGACGGATGGACAGTTTATTTATGCCCACCATGGGGTTACATACAATATATAAGTACACAGTGCTTAAGCCACTCCTACGGGAGATAAACATGTCGCCATCATCAGAGCTCCAGATAAGCTTTTGGTGTTGTGGGTATTTTACCCATGCATTTTAAAATCACTGCGTATCAGCTATTCTATCTGGGTATTCAAATTTCTGTTACCCACTAGTTTTTACACATGTGGGTATTTAAGTTAAATATTTAAAAACACTATTCATCTAGTCCCTGCAAACTGGTGTTGTGTGGGTTCGAGAGCTTTATAGGACTAAAAAATAACACGATACTTCCACAAGAAAGTGTGATGGCAAATGATCATGATGTAACTGTCATCGTGGAGTTTGGCAAGGTTGACGGTATGCCCGTTTATAATTTCAAAATAAGTTGCTGATTTGCCAATCGAATACGCAGGGTTACTTCACAATATTTTGAATATACGCACAAGTTTTATTTTTGTAGCGTATCTGTAATGTTCGTTGCGTATTTGATACGCTTGGATATTATTTTACTGCGTATTTCTGCATTTCTGATGCGTATTTTACGCAGATACGCAGCTTATCTGGATCTCTGCATCATGTAGCTGGAATTGCCTAGTTCGGCGTTAAAAACAACCATACACACGTCTAAACGTAGGTTGAAAATGTGGAAAATTTCGTCAATAAGGAAATCTTTGGTGGAACAGATCACAACTAAGTATGAAAGGTACGTGTATTTACCTTTCCCTTCCAGGCATTACACCATCAGATGGTTCCTCGGAGATTCCGGTGTAAGGAATGTCCAGCGTTAATGTCATCCATCTCCAACTGATTAACACTGGGCTAACCATAAACACTTTTGATGGTATTGGAATATCCAATGTTTCTGTAGATCATTAAACCTATCTCGTGGAAGTCGAACCAGATTATATGACTATAAACAGCATTAAAACTCTGACCTGACATTTTTGTGATCTAAACTCTATTTTGATAACCTACACAGAAACCGTTATCATTTTTCAACTCTGACCTTAAACATTGCGACACATGACCCGCTGTTGAAAGATCGCAGATTGACGTTAATTTTAAATTTTAACGGTTGCGATATAATTTCAAGTATCTGACACAAGTGGAATTTTGCACACAGATTTGTAAATGTTTATTTTGACATTTTAAGTCGACAAATTTGATAAAATAATGTTACTACAAAATATTATTTAGAAGAGCATATTATTTGTTTGTTGTTTAACGCCGCACTCAACATTATTACAGCTATATGACGGCTTGTTTGAAAACCATGTATATTAACAAACCAAATGTAATGGTGCCAAACAAGGAATGCATGTAGTTATTATGTGTATGTAGAAACTGTTGTATATCAATTTGTAGTAATTGTCACTGGCAGCAACTGATTGAACCACTAGTAAAAATATCAAGTGCTGTAGTGGCCGGATTTGAACAGCAGTCAACAACGGACAGGAATGGTTCTTGAATGGTTTTGTGTTAGTTCACGATGTCAAGAGTTACCTGCCCTTGTTTGGTGCTGGAATTGATCGTTCCGAAGTTCTAAAAGGTCAGTGTTCATTGTACTATTCCAACCATATCATCAGTCTGTGTCTTAAGTTTGTTTATTGTGTTTATTTGTTGTTTAACGCCGCACTCAGCAATATCCCAGCTACATGACGGCGGTCTGTAAATAATCGAGTCTAAACAAGACAATCCAGTGATTGACATCATGAGCATCGTTCCACGCAATTAGGATACAATGACATGCATCATCCAAGTCAGCGAGCCTGACCATCCGATCCCGTTACTCGCCTAAAGCACAATCGCCTTTTACGGCAAACATGGGTTGCTGAA